CGTTTTTTGGTTATTGGCACCGTTGTTTTTTTTTGAAAAAGGATTATTGGCACCGTTGTCAAAAGCATGTTTAGAAAATATATTACATATAATATTTCATGTGGGAATGAATGATATGATTTAGGGACCGCATTTTAAAACTTTACTATTATATATTATAATAATTGGTCTGCATGTATATAAATATGTGTAGAGTTGTGATGGTGAGAGTTATGTGGTGCAAGTGATGATAGTTCCGAGTAAAACAAAGTCGTCGTGTAGGACGCACGAAGTGCATCATAATGAGCCCACACGAACATTATTTAAGAAAATCAACGTTTACGGATATATACGACAAACACAAAAAAATCAACGTTGGGTGGATTATATGTTGACCCAAAAACACTATTCTTCTACCGGCTCGTAAAATTGGCTCGTAATCTCTTTATTTTCTTTTATATTAAACTTATAAAAAAACATTGGTAAGTAATCTTGTTTAGGTTAACCACGTCCATTTCTAATTATTATGATGCATATATGATGCAATGATCTTTCAAAAATAAAAATAAACAAAAAGAAGCTATACTAGCATAAATATATATTTCTATGTTTTAAGGAATGATTACAAAAATATCACTTTTTGTGTGCATATTTGCAAGAATGTCATTTAGGGATGTCCATTTACAAAAATGCTATTAATTATAGATTTATAAAACTTATATTTTAAAATTCTAAACCCTAAAAAATATTTTGACACCTAAAACCCACTAAACACTCAAAATTAAATCTTAATAGAACATAATTAACCCAAACATAAATAATATAAAGAAAAAATAATTTTGAAAAAATGGTATTTTTGTAAAAAATTTAAAAGTATGATATTTTTATAAAATAACATTTGAAAAATAGCATTTTTGAAATTTCTCATGTTTTAATGCTATATGACCACCGAATATGGCTATATATAAGTGCCGGCCACTCTACATCAATTAAGAAATTTGAGAACACAAAATCATAAACTATTTGCTTGTCTGAGAACATACTTAATGCATGTTTTTTACAACATGATGTTTATTGGTTTGTATTATTCCACTATTATATATAATATGTGTTTGTATTAACAACTTTTATTTGATCAACGAAAAAATGCAATGTAAACCAATTCACGGTAGCTAAATGGTTGAGTTTATTTAATGAGTCTATGTGCAGATTTCAAATATTTTCATTGTGGTTTTGATTATCATTGGCCATTGTAAATATTTATACATGTTGCAAAACTATATGGCTATTTCACAACCACCAGAAATAACATTGAAAACTGAGTTTCATTTACTTTAATTTTTTTTTTTGACAATCTATTCTCATGGAAATGCCATATGAAGTATTGAAAGTCAGTTTCATGATACAATATTTGCTTATTTTTCTAATATTTAATTATATTGGCATGTGTACTGGTTTTTTAATTAAAGAAAATTTCATACTATTTCGTATATATACTTTTAAAATGTATCTTTAACGATATGTGTAAATGTTTTTCATAAATATGTAAGTAAATATTTTACTTAATCTCCTTTAATATAAAACCAGAATATCTAAGAAGTA